GGACCCCCAATTTCTGGAAAAACCAGAAATTGCCAGGGGATGCGCGGCGTCGGTGCGCACCCCTCGATATTTTTTATTTATTTTTTGCGTTTTTTTTTCCGGGGCCAAGGGTGCCGACCTCCGACCCCCGCTGGGGCCCCGGGCCCGAGGGTTGACAACCCTGGTTGAATGAACAACGACGATCATAAGAAAGCGGATGCCGGCTGCCAAACTTTCCATTACCACTTGGGGACCAACCCGGCCGCTATGGACAACACAATCCCTTACAAACACATCCTCACAACGACATGACTGATTAGAAAATGGACCAACCAAGCCGCCGACGGAGGCAAAAACAATGTGTGAACGAATCATAAAAACGAACAGAAACATTGGTAACACACCCTACTCAACAAAACATTGACGAACCGTTCCAAAAACTGAACGGCAGACATAGCTCCAGGGATCTAATTTTCGAACAATAAGCACGGCGACACACGACTCCACTCTTTCGTCAATCCAATCTTGTGTGCGCCCCCTATCCGTGCACGACATCCTGGAGCGTTAAGAACCGGAGGAAGGATCTGGCTACTCGCATGTCATCCGCTCCGACAACGCGTCCCTCAGCATGAGCGCATCGCCTATGGAACTCTCCATGCACATAGGCAGCAGGGGTCGTTGAATCCCGAGGTCCACGCTGCGGCGCGCTTCGTTGATGTCCACCGCCCACAACAGATTCTCGTCAAATGGAATGTCTGCGTCGATGAAGATGTTGTGGAAAATGCGAACGAATATGAACTGCTTCATCAACGTATCCATATTTGTCTTTTGCGTCCGTAGGAATAACCTCCACATCCCCTTCAGCCTGCTGAAAGCTCTTTCCACAGCCCCTCTCGTCACCTTCTGCTTGTTGTCGAAGCGCTCCTCCACATGGTGCTGACCAATGCCTCCATACAGAACAACGATCCATTCTGAAAGAGGATAGCCATTGTCGCCCAGCAAGTTTCCGTTCGTTTGCACTTGGAGGGGAGCATCATTGGCGGCCCGGAGAAAAGATTGCTGTCCTCCGCACGCGCCCACAAACTTGACAGTTGGATCACCCTGACGTCGTGGCAACTTCCTGGTTACCCCATGTGAACGTCCAACATGTAAATCGACGACTACCTGCGCGACAATTGAGAAATGCCGTCTACAATCGTAGTAGTCCTCGTTGGGAGTGTTCGCCGGCTTGTCGATGTAGATGTGAGTACAGTCGATGCAGCCGTGGCAGTTCGGGAATCCTTTGTCAGCGAATGCTCGAAGGAGGACCAACTTGTGCACCTTTGTCGGCCATGATATCTTCTCCTTGTACACCGTCAGCAGCGCGGCCGTTACGTTCCGTATCAACCCCTGCCCACGAAGACCCGCCGCATATATCATAAAAGTCCCCGAAAAGTCGGGCTGGTGGGATTCAAAATTCCTTTTCCGCTTCGACGGGCCCGGGCCCTCAAAAGTCAGTTCTTTTTACCTCTCCCAGAAAAACGAGAAGTCGGATCAGCCCCTTATTCCAGCTAAGGGCATACTAGCACTTGTACTTTCGTGAATGTATCTGACCACAATTACGGTTAGGATTGGTCGTCAAAGTGCTACCCTTAACCCCCTTATTATTCCAACTGTATATAAGTGAATGAAGTGGGTTTTCAGTTTTCCTTCCCCCCCCTCCTCTCCCTCTTCCGGTTTTCCTTTTTGAGCTACTTGGCTTGTCCTTTTCTGCTATTTCTTATAAATTTCTACTTCTTTGCCTTGTCTGTAGCAAGTCTCTACCGTGAGGATCATTGTTTCCTCTCCACTCCTCGCAAGCGCAAATGTCCATTTCAAGGTTAGCTCTAGAGCTGCATGGGACTTAGCAAATCTCTATTGTGAGGATCATTTAGTCCTCTCCAATGCTCTGAGGCGCAAATGGGCATTTCAAGGTTAGCCCTAGAACTGCATGGGACTGTAAC